CTGTCAGTTACCAAACAAATTCTGGTGGTTTCGGCTTATTTGTTGTTTGGCTTCCTGGATCACTGCTAGAGGGAATCTTCTGACTTCCTATCTTGGGCTGGTGGCTGCAGATTTCGGCTCAGAGATCTATTCTTGTGTGTGGTCTGGATGCTGCCTGTGTATGACATATAGTTTCTCCCTGGATCTTTTGATAATCAGAGGACAGACCTTCAATGGTTGGTGGGAAGTGAGCCTTTGGGGGATTGTGGGACCCCTGTCTCTTCCTTTTTTTTTTTTTTCTGGTCTGGCTCGGAGGGGAGAACGTGGCTCTACCATGCACTCTAGACTACAGGTCTAAATGCAATTGGACCAACTGATTGTGGACTGAAATCTCCAAAAACTGTGAGCCAAAATAAAGCTTTTCTCTTGGTAACTTTTCTCCTGTGGATGACTCAGGAAGCTGAAAATCTTGCAAGATCAGGAAGCCAACAGGAACCTAGAGTGGTAAGCCCCCATAGCATCTCCTGGTCCAAGGACTTAGCCTGAAGGTGTGCTATGCCTCTGACCTCTTCCTTGCATAGGAGGGATGCAGAATAAAACCCATCAAGATGTGGGAGGAAGGCACCTCAGCTTGTCATACAGCCACGCCAGCTTTCTTTAGTAACATGTCTCATTACTGGTGATATTAACCTTGATTTTGCCGGTGTCTCTGTCTCCACTGCTGAGAAAGAGACAAGCAACCCTGACATGTGAGCCAAGCCTTGGGGGTTCCTTTGAACATACATCTGGATCTCAGAGGGGATGTCTTCACCATCATGTCAGAAAACTATGATCCAAACCACAAAATGGCTCATAGCCCCCTCTCCTGGCTTATGTGAGTCATTACCGCTCTACCAATCACAGCTCTAGCCTCCTGCTATGGACCTAAAATGGTTAGATATCCATAGAGTTACTCTCTCTCTGCCTGGGTGGTGGCACATTACTGTAATTCCAGCTACTTGGGAGACTGAGGCAGGAGAGTCTCAAGTTCGAGTTCAGTCTGGGCAACTCTGTGAGACTCTGTCCTATAAAGGACTGGGAGTGGGCTGGGATTGTGGCTCAGTGGCAGAGCGCTTCCTTCGTAAGTGTGAGGCACTGGGTTCGATCCTCAGCACCATATGAAAATAAATAAATAAAATAAAG